GAGAACAATAAGCTTCAGTGCTAAAGGCAGGCCCAGCCCCAGGAAACCGGGCTGGCGGCGGCAACAGAAGCCTGGGAAGATTTTAGCGTCCCTGAAAATTTAGTTTCAAATCGCACGTTATTTCCTTAGTCTGGAACCACACAGACGAAAGCGTCCAAAGCCGTCTTAACACAGCCCCCGGCACCTGCCTATGGCCAGCGTCCCTCCGTACCTCGCAGGGATGTTGCCCAACCACCGGGTAGATTCGCTGATTCACTCCGCAAGCGAGGTCCTCCAGGGTGTTTTTTCCTCCTAACGCACATTCGAAGAGGCCGGGGCAACTAAAGCTCAGAGGAGTGACACGCAAGTCACGTCAAGCTCACAGAGAGAGAGGAAAATAGTTCCGGTTCTCCTATTCCCGGCCTAGGACAAAATTAAACATCCAGCGGCGTATCGTGGGAGTCTCTCCGGTCAGCAGGTTCTTTAGTTGTGTCCGGCACCACATCGTCGCAGGGCTTTCCCGAATGCCATCCGCCTCTGCAAACTGCAGACCCTGTTGCAGGGAAGTCCACGCTCCCCGTGCGGCAAACGGCCCAGCTCAAGCTGGGGAAACTCACGTTCTTCTCCAGGGCCAGCAAGCCGGTTGGCAAACGCTAAAGCCTACTTGATGCAAAACAGCCGTTAAGGAGAGTTGTATATTAAACAGGTTTACACGCGTTCCTGCACGTTGAACAAGCGGAGCCACGCGGAAGCTCGCGAGCCTCTTCCAAAGAGCACGTCCTTACTTAGCGCATCTAGAGAACTAGCGCTACGGCTCAGCAGGACTAAAATTTTACAGTAACTATGAATTGTTATTTTATGCTACAGAGCGGTCCGGTCGCTCCCGGGGGCACCGAAACAGCCAATACCGGCGTCCAGAAAACAAAACTTCAAACTTTTTATCATCTTACGCAGGCTGTTCTACTTCGTGGCTTTCCTAACTAAACCCGCTTCAACCAACATCAAATGACGGCTGGCCGTGACAGCAGTTTTCAGGTCGATGCTGCACCGTCATTAGCTTACAGCAATCGAGAAAAACAGCGTTTCCGGGGACAGCCAGTTAACGGGGAGCAACTCACCCACGTACATGAACCGACGCCAATACAGCTTTATCATGCTTTGGCAGTTTTTTCAAGCCGTGCGCTACACAAACAAGCACTCTGGGGCCCGAGCTGTTCGGTCTGGGTTTTTTTTTTCCTTTTTATTCTTATTTCAAAGTGATTGGAAGGATTCGTTTTTCAACTTATTTTGAAGCAGTAGGATGAAAGCAGCACGCCCAGTTGGAGAGTTGCTCAGGACACAGGATTCACTGAGGAGCAGGGACTGCTACAAGAGCGTCCTCAGGAGGTCTGCAAATGTCTACGTTCTGTGTAATAATCAAAATACAGAGGAGAATATTTATCATGCAGCAGTAAGAGCAACACAAATCTCAGCTTCCTTCACAAGTATACAGCTGCATTTATTTAAAAGCAGAGATTTTCCCCCCCTCCTCAGAGAGAGCTAGTTGGTGTCCCTGGGCTAGACAGCAGGAAAACATATTTACTGCAATCACTGGTCCCATGCTGATAATATTACCAAAAAGGAATTTATTCATATTTGGGAGGAAGTCTTTTATGGGCCCAAGCAGGAATCCACTTAAACATGTACTTAAGCACATACGCTTCTATTCAAAATAAGCACTTGAGTCCCACGAACTTTCCGTGGTTTCCTGAACTATGTCACACACTTATTTCCCAAAGGAAGATTTTCCGTTTGTTTGCATTACGGGTAATATGAAAGTACCAATCATACACTTGAGAAAAAAAAAAAAAAAAAATCTCTTCCCAGACATGTTACCAGCTCAAGACTGATCACACTGACTAGATCTCACCTGATTTTGCAGAGGTGGTTGTGGGGGGGGGAAAAAGAAAGTCAGGTTCAGTGCAGCAAATTGCTCAAAAAAAAGCCAAAAGGAGAGCACAGCAAACGGTCAGGGCTAGGAAGCAGAGCGTGGGCTGCGGCCGGGCCGGCCGAGCCTTGGGAATCGGGTCTACCACGGCGTGCCATCGTGGCCCACCAGCGGGCCTGTCCTGGCGTCACCTCCTTTAAACCTCAAGCGACAGCTAAACTGCGATTCTCCCTAGTACCAAGGATACAAACCACGACAACTCGCGTTCAAGGCCTTGGGCCAAGGTTTGGCCTGATTTCGGCCAAAACACTGCCAATTCTTGTAAGCCATTCTCCAAGCTTCAAGCTGACGGGCTTCGTGAGTTTATTGGTCGCACGGTGCGGGAAGCAACCTCAGCTTTCCACAACACCTCCCTCTCCCCCGAAAGGGAAAAGCGGGTTGGGGTTGGTTTTCTTGCTACGAGCAACCTCCCTATCTGTCATTCGCTGACCGAGACGGAGGTGCAAAGCAGACGTCTCACCCCGCTGCTTCTTTTCTGGCCCAAAGAGAGGACCCAAGCAACAACCAAATTCCACTGAATTATCTTCAGGAGAAACGCTCGGCTCCTTCGACGGAAAAGCTCAGGCGCTCACAAAAAGTGCTCACAACGCTGACGGACGCTCGCGTTAAATCCCTTTCCGACAAATCAGCCTTATGTAACGAAGTTTACACGTCCCGTAAGCTAATCGATCTCGCACTTCGCCTGCGTTTCCGCAACGTGAAAACGCGGCTTGTCAGCTAACGCAGGCAAGGACCAGCCACCCCGCTCTGGACGCCTCCGTCGGCCAGGGACCGCAGAACAGCCCACCGGGCAACTCCTGGTCAAGCAGCCTCCTTGTTTTAACGGCGTGATTACCCGTAACGCTGCGTCTAATTAAACGCTTTGGCTGCAAGAGAGTATCTGAGAATTTAATTTTACAGCACGTTCATCGGTTTTGTAAACGAAAGGCTTTTGAAGTATTGACGGTCCTCTGAGCAGCACTTACACGCAGGCAGAATCAACGCAGTCCTTCATCCAGCTTTACCTGAGAAGGTAACAGGGCCCATACTTCCCTGGTTTGGGTTTCTTTGGGAAGGGTGTTTGGGGCTTTTGGGTGCAACGTTCTCTGCTCCTCCTTTTTTATTTTTAAATTCATTGAAACCAATCTGTTTCTTTTCTAAACAAACAAACAGCTTCGTGTCCACGGCAGTGCAACCATCTGCATAATCCCTTCTGTGCACCTGAGACACGGCTACCCGGCGCCAACGCCAGCGGGAGCACCTAGCTCTGCAAGACGCGTTTGGCGACCGAGGCAGAGCTTACCCCCCAAAATTCACACCTTCAGTTAGCTGACTGCTATATCTAATGGCAACTCCCCCAAAATATTAGCAAGGTGTAAATGCAGCCTCGGTGTTTTACTGGAGAAACTAAAAAATGCTCACTTGATCTAAGTTACTTAATACTTCATCGCGGACACCAGCTCCCGGATATCTTAATTTATTTTCACCGCGCTTATCCAACACCTTGCAAGCACTGCGGAAACACAGCGGCTTTCCTGAACCTAACAGGCGAAGACCTGAGGGGGGTAAAGCACAAAGGCAAAGGGGAGAAGGGGAAAGCCATCAATACAGCTATTTGATGGAAAAAAGCCTTGGCTAAAAGCGACCAAAAGTCTGTATCTGCACAACTCGGGAACACCCAAGCCATCAAAACAAAACTCCTTTGCAGATCCCTTCACGCACAGCTGCCACAAACGCACGCCCTGATGTAACGAAGGTCTTTCACGTCCTGCGCCTAACTGCACACGCACCCAGAGACTCATTTATCCTTACGTTCCTTTTCACCCTGAACTAGCGTTCCCGCAGGCACCGCAAAACCCAAGCTGCTGGCAACGCGCGAGCACGTATACCTCTACTGAAGACGTGAGCCACGCGCCGGGAGAGGAGGAAGCCGCCGCGCTCCGACACCCCGTCGCTCGGTTCTCCTTTCCCGAGGTGCTCGCTGCATCGCGAGAGCTTGCCGTCCGCGGGACGCGGGGAGCGCCCGCAGGACCGCGCTTCTAAGTAAGGGGCAACGACGGCGGGGATGAAAGAGCTGATGCGTCCGTTATCCGCCCTCTCCAAAATAAGCGGGGCGTTCGTAGCAGCGTATCTCTGACCGCGCTCTACTTACTCACGCTGACGGACAAAGACCGGAAGAACTGTACAGTTTTCAGATTGACACTGCATCTGTCTATACACATATCCTGTATCTTTTTGGAAGATACAAAACAGCAGCTGCTGGAGCACATAGGTAAGACACTGGCTCAACGAAAAGAACATTTCCTTTCTCAGCAGCAAGCTGGTATAAAGCTTCTATGTAAAATTAACCACGTTCAGCAGAGTTGTACGATCGTTTCTAAGGACAACAGAAGTCAGCTCGGCTGGTGCATCGCTTCGAGGTCTCCGACCTGACACACGTTCTTACCTCGGGTTTGTCTCTGTGCGTGTTTACAGCTTCCACATTCAGGAATATGGATTCCACTTTACATCCTGCCAACAGAAAGCACATTTTTAGACTCGGTCTGCTTTAAAAACTGTAAAAACTCGGTCTGCTTTACCACTGTAAAGACGCAATCTAATTTTAAATTGACATGCAACCAAATTTTAAATGGGTGAAGGCAACTCCCGCTCCTCTTGTGATTTGCACCAGAATTTCCTAAATTCTGAAGAGCTTTAGCCGGAAAACGAATCAGCTGCACGAGAATCAATATTGGTCCCAATCAGAGAACCCATCTCACTGTCTCACCTTAGCTTTATTTTTATTGTTTTGAAAATCGAAACACAAATGCGCATTTTTTGAACATACATGAGCAACAACAAGCCATTAGAAAGTTCCTACTTGCAGCTTTGTTTTTAAGCACCCTAGGCTTATTAGAATTTCATTGTAATACTGATTTTAAATATTGCTCTCATTTTTTAAAAACTTGAGGATGATTAGGAGTTGTTAGTAACCCCCGTTCCCCTATGCACGCAAAACAAGAGCTCCAACCCCAGCAGCTAAACGGGACTTCAAAGCTAACGTCGAGAAAGGGACTGCTCCCCTTAGCCCAACGACAGAAAACTCCAGGCAAAAATAAGAAAAACCATCAAGTCAGAAGAGATAAATATCATTTAGCATAAGCTGACCCACTTAGAGAAAGGAAATTACTCAATCCACTCCCTTAACGTGCCCTTAAAAGAAATAACCCCCAAACTTCCCTAAGAAACAGTCCAAGAGCGGTGACCTGAGAGAATCCAGTTTCCTAAAAATTAACCTTTTCTTTTAATTTTTCCCAAAAGACAGCTTTAAATGTATACGTTCAAGGCCGCAACCTGTCCTGCAAGCCCGGGAACACCAGATGTCACCAAAGCTCAGGCTGCTGCTCTTCATCGCAGCCCCCCCCTGCCATTAAAATCACAGCACTTCACAACTGAACAGCTGTTTTGTTTGTCTCATCTGGAACGTCACCAAACCCAATGGATGGCTCGAGCCTGCTTTTTTTCACAGCTGATAACCATAGGCAGCTTTGCATGTTGCAGGACTCGCTCGGAAAAACTCGACCACCGTTTTCGGCCCTCCGTTCCCTGCTAAGCTAAGCAGACGTTCCTCCTCGCCTAGAAACAACTTTCTGAAGGTTATCGGAGCACACAGTCAAGCCATCACTTCAAGAAAACCAGCAGCAGACAGGCAAAAGAGAATTAGCAATCGGCCTGAAAGCGGGACCTTCTCCGAGCAGCGCGCGCCGCTAGCGAGCGCCAAACCTCCGAACCCCCCGAGCTCAGCGCCGATTCAAACCGCCGGCAAGCACGTGCCACCAGGCACCAGCCGAGATGCTGCTAGCAACCACCTCCTGCTAGCGTGAAGATCCATGCACAAATACTTCAGGAAAACGAAACAGTTACTTAAGGGTAACAGGGGAACACCCCTGAGAAGATGTTAAACCCCCCTAATTTGGCTTTGCCTGTCTTCTAAAGAGCAATGCCCTCAAGCACATCGATAAAAACTGAAATCTCACCGTGCCAGAGCCATTTAAGTGGCCGAGTTTGCCAAAGAAATGAAAGCAGTAGCATGAACGTGCACCACGCAAGCAGCTCGTCCCTCCGCAGCCGCAGCCACTACTGGCAGTCGCACACCTCCGCTAACCCCTACGTATTTTCTGGCATAACGCGAAGCAAATATAACCCGAAGGATTCACCGACTTCAGGAAAGCTGTACAGGTGTACGTATGACCCCAAGCCTAATAGCTCCATTCCGTTTTATAGCAAGATACATTTCAAATGTTTTAATTAAAATACTCCAACTTTACTGATGACCTGGACGTTAGTATCTGCCAACAGGATATTTAAAGTTTTTGGAAATACTACTTACCATAAGCCACGGGGGTTAGCTTTAAGACAGTATGCAGCGGGCACTTGAGGTAAGGCAGTTGTTCTGAGAAATCGAACAACAAATGACATATGAAATACAGATTACGTGAATACTTTAACTTTTCTGTAGCCTTACAGGCCAACCATTTAAAAGCCTCTTTTTAACTGACAGCGCATCCATTTTCTTTCCTAGCACGCAATTAAAAGAGAGGAGAAAAACAAACACTGCAGCGTTTCAAATAACTAGCTCCACAAAAACCCCTGACAAGTAACAGGAGCGGGTCAAACACGGAAAAGGCTTTTTGTTAGAATTTGGGACCTCAGCTGGCAAAGTTTCAAGATACCTCAACAGGAAAAAAACCAGACTATTTCTAACGTAGCAGAGAATTACCTGCAGGCTTGTCGAGAAAATACGCAAGCAAACAGCGCATGACAGCTTGGTGACATATGACAAGCACGTTCTCCTGCCTTTCCAGCTCCATAATGACTGGCTCCAGCCTCTGGACAAGGTCTTCATAGGACTGCGGAGGAGAAGAGAATCACGTAGCACGTTAAAAACGAACCGTAAGAAAGCTGTGCAACCGCTCCACGCTGCCCCGAGTTTTGGGCCTTCAGCGCCCACAGGCAGGCCGTGCGGCCCTCCAGTAACTGCCCCACTGTAATGAGTTTGCTTTAGAAACGCTCTCAGCAAGTTATTTTCCTAGGGGTTTATTAAAGACCAACAGGCCTACAGATTTCCATAGCGTTTCAGCCACAACTGCATGCAACATAACCATCATCTACGATGACGACGACAACGGAAGGAGCATCTTGACAGTAGGTATGCGCATGCAATAAGTTGAAGCCTTGCCATCATTTCTCCTGCTGAGGGACCAGCACAGAAATGATGCTAACAAGATCAAATCTCTCGACTGCTTTTTTTTACATTTGATGTCATCTTTCAAGCCCTGAATCAACGCTAAACGGTCTGGCCTCGATACTTGCAAGTTGCTATGTGCTTTCACCTGGAGAAAGGAGCAACCTTTTTATGTACTCAGAAATGTATTTTTTCCATCTTACAGCTAGCACGCGTGTATTTAAGAAGACATGGAAGTCCTTCACCTTAAGAGAGAAAAGACAGCGTACCTCTCCCTTAGGGTATCTGTATCTGTATTTGTCTTGGTCTCTCAGTGCAAACTCGAGCGGGTAATTTTCCTGTATTTCTTCATATGTCATTTCTTCACACACTCCCTATAGGTAATAAAAACAATTAAAAAGCCCCTATTTCCAACAGCACAAAAAGCAAGTATCACTCTTATAATACAACCAAATATAAATGTCCTTTAACAAATATATTGTATTGCTCTTTGATGTCCAAAACTAAAATCTTTGCACAATATGAACCAGACATTCAGTCGGAGCCAGACGTGGGTAGAATGGATCAGCAAATCAGTATATGAGTGAGCTTACCTATAACGGCAAGCGACATCACTGTATGAGCAAGGCTACAGTTTAGCTATCTCAACGGCTTACATATCCCACAAGTGCAGCTGGAAAGTGCCAAACGCCCACAAGGCTTTTTGCTTTCTAACCTCCATCTACCAAAAATTACTCAGCATCACCACTTTGACTGGGGAGTCAAATGGGAAAGACAAACTGAAGCTAAATTGATTATGGCAACTTTCAGAAAATATTGAATCTTGTTAAGAGGAATTAATCACTATTTTTCCAGCCTCTAGCGCTACCGCTTTAACAACCTTCCGTCCCATAAAAGCCTTACTATTGCAAAATGAAGCACTTCCTTCTTCCCCAGCAAACAAAGCAACTTATCAGACATTTAGAAAAGAAGAACTTACTGCATCTATCTCGTTCAAAACCTTCCACTGCTCATAAGGCACTCCCAAGGCTTCGGCAGTCTGAATCGTCCTTTTCATCTGACTGGTCCAAACCTTCAGATCTTTGATATTTTGCTCATTAATAAACTGCGCCAAGCTTTTGGCAAACTGAAAGAAAAAACACGGGAGGCTGAACGAGGGCTCAGAGCCAACCTACTGCGTTCAGCCTGGAAGCCGCAGGCTCCGGGCCTCCCTAAACCCACTGCAGCTTTTCCAAAAGGCTTTGTCAAGGCTTTTGCTAAAAACGCAACACTTGCTGTTAAGCCAAGGGGAACAGGGGAGGGAAGGAAAGGAGTACCAGGAAGACACAAATCTACTGCGGGTCCCACATCTTTATCGCCAGGAATTTTCCTTTCGCCTTTAGCTCGTGAACCCTCCTGATTATCCAGCACATCAGGATGAAAAATCAGGCAGTAAAAAACAAAGCCTCCTTTGCCACTGCTCTGTGCTCTAGGATAAACAGAAATTTCGAGGAATGGAACGAAAGACCAATAAAAGAGCATACACCAAATTGCAACACCCAGGCGCCACTGCCCACATACGTAACTAAGAAATCCTTCAAAAATGTGTTAAGAGGAAAAGGGAGTAGGGGGAAGGAAGCTGCAATTGCACAACACAGCATGCACATATATCCACAAAGCCCCAAGTCACAGCAGCGTAGGAGGTACATACTTCTTTCCCCCTGACGGACAGCCCAGGATCTCCTCCTATTCTCCCTTTCAGATTGAGCTCGCTTTCTCCGTGTCGACAGAGGTAGATTGACCGAGGAGTCACGTGGATATTCATGAGGTAGTAGACAATCCGGCTCTGGATGTGATCCATGACTCTGTTCACAAGGTAACTCCTTCCAACGTCCATAATTTTAATATAGGAAAGATCCCTTTCACCAGCAAACAAAAGCATATGTAAGATTCCACACGGTTTTTATTAGCCTGTACCAGGATCCTCCTACCCCCTCGCGCAGCATAAAACCAAGACATTGTTCTCCAGGCTACGAACTTCCCACAGCACATGCATGTCTTGATCGTGCACAGGGACCGCAAGGCACGGTCACTGGCTACCCATCTCAACGAACCTTTCCAGGAAAATCACAGCACCAGAAGGACTAGCCGGAAGCAAGATCTTTTTTTCAAACACCCTACTAACAGCTGCTTATTCACAGTACTATAATTTACCCCACACCGCTATCTTATCCCAGCATCACAGAGACTATAACTTTTAAAGCCTAAAATAAACCCTGGCTGGTTTTTAGCGATGCATTTCATATGTCACACCATAAGAAAATAAGAAAATTTATAGTAAGAACAAATGACGGTGATAAGAAGCAAGCATCCTCGCTTTATCTTTGACGTCGTTCTCTGGAGTTAATCATTACTGATCCACACAGGCACAACTGTTGGGTCCACCACAGAGAGTACACGCATGAGTTGAGCTGACTGAACCAGCTTCACATTGCTTACACTCAATTACATTAAAATGCACCTCAGCCTTCTCTATAGCGCTGGCCCTTCAACGAACCAGGAGAGGGACATCCTTGGCGCGAGCGCAGCTCAAGTTCCCATACTGAAAGACCCAGACTGCACCAAGAACGTGACTCATCTCTACCTCATTTTCAAGCGTTGAACCTGAACAAAAAACAGTTGAATGCTTTGGAAGAAGGACAAATAAACTAGCTATGAACGTTTCTCACGTTTCTCCTGAGTTTGCAGGATTATTTGCACAGTCAAATAAATAAATTTGGAAGTCACACTTTGCAGGACGGATGCGTTCAAAATTCATCTCAGCCACATCAACAAATTGAAGTTATGTTTCCAAATCGCTCAGGTCTTCTCTATACTCTAATAAAAAATAACAGCCAGCCACTACAGCTAGTCTGGAATCATTTTTAAATGCAGGCTCTAGTCCAGAAGAACCGTACCATCTTCCAAGTCGGGAAACAGGAAAGAATATTGTCCCAGAGTAGACCTATTAGCCAATTTTCCTCAAGCAACCAAGTTTCCAGGCTATATCTCCATAATCTACTCTCTCTAATTGGCCCGAGATAAGAAAGCTGAAACCATCAAAAACACCATGATTTGAAAACCCCAGTCTCCAAAGGGATGCTCCATCCCCTAAAGAAACATCTTAAGATACCGCCATTGTGACCTCAGTATTATCCCACCACTTACTTGTCAAGGTTTTCATCTAGAGTCTCATAGGAGTTCTTGTAGCACTCTATTCTCTTCATGAAATCTTCTGTTGCTTCATCATTACTACAATCAACATAGTCCGGGCTACCCAGTTTCACTTGCTATTTTAAATAAAACCAGGGGAGTACATGAGTTTGTCTGCCTTTTTTTTTTTTTCAAGAGAAGTTTAAAGAAACACGAGTTGCGAGAAGAAAACAGGACACGCAAACATATTTTCTGAAAGTTAATAAAAATACACATAGAGCAAAAACACCTATTCTTCATAGAACTGAATGTCTGCATTAGCATATACACGGATAGGAAAATAAATGAAAAGGAAAAACGTGCTGTTAATGGGAATGACTTTTCCTATCGGAAGCTCTTCTAATGTAGTTTTAAAAATACTGAGCTACTTTAAACTCCTGACTTCAAAGCCTCCAGACTTAAAGCAGTTAAAGCAAACTTTCCAGTACTCACCACAATGTTTGCAGCTATGACCTCTGGATCCACACACACTGACTCAACAAAAAAAGTCTTCAGTCCAAACAGGAAGTCACGGGGACAGAAAGAAGGAAGACAGAAGATGCATGAAAATGCCTCTGGAGACTAACACACACAAGCACACGTCTGTTTTTATGTTAACCCCTTTCTAACAGAGCCATGCCTTAAACTTTCCTCCGCCTACTCAGAAAGTGTCTTTTTCCTCCGCATCCTCCCATTAGAAATGGATGGCTCGCCATTCTCCAAAGCGCTATGCTCTACACTGTTTTCCCCAACGATGCTTAAAGGCAGAAACGTTTTGAGGCGAGAAACACTTAGGAGGGAGGAGAGAGAGAAATAAATGGGGAGGGCACAAATTCAGCCATGCAAACAGTAACTGATGCTTCTGGAATAAATAACGTAGGACCCCTTCAACTAGTGCAGCAGCCTCACTTAAGAAGAAGTTCGTGTTTTGCTCTCCCAAAGCTGCAAAGAAGCAGGAGTAGACCAAATGGAAGACTATTAATTTTTGCAAAACGATCCTGGACACGAGGCAGAAAGTAATATAAAGCCTTCAGTGTGTACAGAACTAACATAAATTTCCGTATGTGTTTCGGCAGGGAAGACCCAAACTGCACCAAGAACCGTATTTTAAATAGTTATTGCTAGCAGCACGCTTAGAATCACAGGTCCAGGACGATCCAAGTGAAGCCACGGCATAAGGGAGAGCAACTCCAAACTGTACAAACTTTAACTACAAGAGAAAGGAGGGTGCAATGGCTCTGTTCATCATATAAACAATGCTTGAAAGCACAGAACTATCTATTGACACATCATATTGACACAAGGATGTGGCTCGTGCTCCTCAGAAAACAGACAGGGCTAAGGGGCAAAACTCTCACTGCTGCGCTGCTTTTCCAAGCACAAGCCCAGAAGCTCTTTGCTTTTGACTCACCTTATACCCATTTTCTTCGCCAAATTTGTAAATAGTTTCTCTGCGCTCTCGAGTTGTGTTTGTGGCATCAAAGACCTAGGAGAAAGAGAGCGAGGGGAATTTTAAAAAAGCACCAGTGAGTAGCGCTGGGTTAGCAACAACAAAAATAAGGCTTGAAAGTCCCTCATTTGAAGGAAAGCAATGAAAACCCTTCCCCTGTCCTCTACTCTACTGCCTTTGACTAGGTCAGGAGACTTCTAGTCGCAGAAAAATATCTAAACAATCCTGACAATAATTTAGCATCTGGTTCAAGGCCATGTTCTTGGGAGATATCTCACCCTGATCCGAGAAGCTCCCAGAGAGATGTTAGGTTATGTTTCTATGGCAGCCTCTTATCTTGATAAATAGAAAGATGCCTTTGAATTTAATTTGCAGTCACACAGCGTTAGGGATAAAGGTTGCAACTCTTAAAAGGTGCCTCGATTCAGCACCTCGGTGGCTTAAAAGCCAAGCCCAACAGCATCGGCTACAGAGCAGTCAGCAGGTGCCTACCACTTCTCCTGTAAATCGAGACGTGCAGGAGAAAGAGGGCACATGCACAGCATGCAGGAGGCAAACGTTTTTCATTAAAGCTTTTAACTTAAATAGGAATACCTTGACAGCAACACGAGCGCGCTCAGAGAAGCTGAGAAGCAAACAACAAAACAGAGCGCAGTCCTCGCTACAATTTATGCAACACGAACAATAATCAGTTTATGCTGAAAACTTCAAAAATAGCGTTTACTTTCATATTCCATGAAACAGCAACGTATATCCTCAGCACACGGGACAGCAAACGTCGAGCATCTTCAGCAACGACCAGATTACACCTGACTGCCATTTACGTTGATACTTATTCACATAATACATATTTCCATCTGATTTAGGAAGGGAAACTTTACACTTCCAAGCTCTCAACAGAAGAACAAAAGACAGAACAAGACGATTGCATTTTAAATACTTTCCCCCCCCCCTTAAATCCTAAAACAGAGTGGCATTTTGAAGACACCTCTAGCAGAATACTGCATTTGGAGGAAGTAGCTACAATTTAAGCCTAACACGTAATAAAAGACACCATCTTCCTCCTGGCCCATACCTGCACTAAATACCAATACACAGTTTCGTTATGAATTTATACTACATTTTTCTAAGATCTTAGCTTTAAGAATAGTAAACGCCCGCATTTTACCAAAGTATAAAAGCTTATCTCAGAAATCCCTTAGTAGAGCTCACAGTTAGAGCTAAGGGCTCTCCTGACTAGTTCATGAAAACACCACATAAAAGTTGCAGGTCAGTAGAGTCTCCAAACCCCTACGCATAAAATATTAATAAGGTCAACACGCAGCATAAAAATCCCATTAGTTGGACAGCTGACCCTTTGCATCCTGTCATTAAATACTCAGGTATGCAGCAATGTACTCTGCGGTTTTCCTGCTCTCTTCCAAGATTTCCGCAGCATCGATAACGCTACTGTCGGGCAGTACTTGCGGTGGGACACTGGACTATCAAACAGTTGCTGCACGAGCGCAACCAAAGCAAAATCTGATAGCGTCAAAAGATGTCGGAATGATTAAGATCGTCTGTTATCTGGCACAGACGCACTGTTTTGTAGAGAAACATTTCAAGAATTGGTCTTCGAACAGCAACTTACGGCCACGTGCCCGTTTTCTTCACTGAGGTACTGTCGGACGTCGTTCAGCGCTGTTAAGGCACACTGTCTTGGAAACAAAAGAGAATAAAACTCAAAACGCAAGTTGAAGTCATTTTATTCACGCACTTATGCGCAGCGACCAACATGCCCTGGAAACGTTAGCGAGATAATCGCTCTCAGAAATACATATTGCTCATTAGTCCCCTCCATTAAACATGAGGAAACCAACAGACGTGAACGAAGCTACTAAGGGATTATGGTCATGGCCATCTGCCCCAAAAAAGTCCCCCTGAGGGCTCCTTTGTGCCACTGACATAACTATAATATACATATATACATATATAAAAATAGCTATCATCTCTGCTGACCAAGATAAGCTTTAACTAATCTATAGCAGCGTTACCGAATCATTCCTCCAGCTGTACTTTTTCACACTTTCCTATTTGCAGAAGAGTTGATTCCTAATTTCACTCCCAGAAAAAGAGGGGAGAAAAAAAAAAAGAAAGAAATCAACTTCAGTGTTTTATCTTGCCATCTGAAGGTGAAGGATTCGCTGCCGCTATCGACGGTACAAGTATTTCTCAGTGTTTTGCTGGCTCTCCTGACAACTGCTGCGCCAAAATTCCTTACGTCAATAAAAAAAAATCTGTTAAAACAGCAAGTCAAAAAAGTTAGAGAGTAACGAAGTCGGTGCGTTGGAGGTAACGATGCAGTGCAGGGTAACCACGGCCTCTCTGGCCGTTACTGCTCTGTTTTGGCTCCCGGGCTGGAACGCGTCACCCTCCCTCCATAGATCATATTCTGCACGCACAGCTTTATCTTCCAAAGAAAAACGAAAGCTTTTCAATCCTGACAATGTTTCCACATTAGCGTGGTTAATAGATGCCAGGGACTGAGATTCGTCAGTCAGGTCTTCACTAGACAAACACAACCCCTCTTTGCTCCCTGCTAACCAGGCAGATCAGCGCGCTCAGCTCATTTCACACCACGTTCGCCAGCGCTTAGCCTAGCGGGCGCCGCGGAGACGCGTTAAAAGTTCTTCCTCTACCTCTAAGCAAAAAGGGGACAATGAGAAACAGGTTCAAAGAGCTTCAGGCGAGGAATTCCCGCATGAGAAACGGGAAGAAATGCAGTTGCGTGGGTTTTTTTTTTTTTCCTGTTTTCCACAGCCTGCTGAGAGGGCAAAAGGAATCAAGCTTAAACATTTACCTTCTCCCTCTTTTTGGTGCTTGAACTGAAGCACTTAAGAACAAAATACCCCCAAAATTTTAAGCAGCCTGGACAAACCGCTTTTCCACCTCCTCTGAAATTTCCCTTTTCTTGTCATTTCCTACCACAGCCTCTTAAGCTTAAAGCAGCGTCTAAGCGCAAGTCATACGGGGTACCGCGCGGATACGATTAGCATCGCGCAGCCAACCGCGTTCCAAACTTACTTCCTGATCTTCAGGCCTTCCTCGTTGTCCGGCAGGAAGAATTCAAAAGATTTATACTTCTTCACCAAATCTCGACGGTACTGACCCACGTTAAACTCTGTCAAGAAGAAACCGGCGTCAGCGGGGCCCAACGGTCTCGCAAAGCGGTCGCGTAGGAAGGATGAACGCTACGACAGCTTTGACACCAAACCACCTCCGAGCATCAAGTAACTCGTACCAAGCCGACATACCATGCATCTTCTCGTCTTCCTTAATACGAAGGCAACTTAACAACGAGTCACGGAAACGGCATAAGGACATTTGGGACGGGGGCGGCTTCAGAGGCGTTATTTGACCGTACTGCTATGCCTCTGTCTGCCGGTTTGCCCAGGCAAAATAGGAAATGCTTCTGGGGTGGTCGGAAATTTATTTCAGTAGCGTCTGCAAAGCGCTTCTAATAATCTAGTTCATCCCTCCGTGCGCAGGCACAGCGGAAGAACACGACGACAGCACCTCCCAGGGCTTTAACCTCTCCTTCAGGCAAGGAAGAGCTTTAAATAGGACTGGGCAATCCAGCTTTTGCTTAAAGGACCCTGCTCAAATATTTCTATTCCTTACGAATCAGAATATATTGTTGCACAACCCCCTGTTCTCTTTATTTAAGAAAATGCTCAAGCTGGGAGGGAAGAAAAAAAAAACACAACAACAACAGTATAAGCATTGAACGTAATCTTACCATGACCTGTTAACAGCAGTCAAGGAAAAACTATTCTATAGCTGAGCAAAGGTTTATGCCAGCCAATCTGTCATGATATCAGATACAGGATTAGGGCAAGGCAGCTCTATTCTGCCACGCGGCAGGCGATGACACTGTACCCAATTAACTGCATTCAACAGCTCGGTAAGTAGGTCTCCAAAGTGCAATTAATATTTAACTTCGTTTGTGACCTATAGGTTTTCCAGCTGGACTTTAGAGCATGTTAGCTCAAACTGAAGTATTGTTTTGCAAGCTGCCAAGGCATCACTACATGGCAGACTTCGTTTGTAGAAAGAGGAAAAGGAATAATGGACATAATTGCCGAGATGTAACAAAGATCGAAAGAAACATATGACCAAAGGGCTCAAATATAAGTTTTCCTGGCAAAAAAAAAAAAAAACATATATACATATATATACACATTGATTGGTGCTGGGATGGGGGAGGAAAATAAAGACATGAACGGTATTTTAACCCCCTAAAAATGTTGGGTTTTGTTTGAATTCAGCACTGGTGATGTAATTCTTTGTGGTCAGCTGCATGACCTGGACACCACCAGTTTACGCTGTGACAAGTTGAAAAGCAGGGGCCGTACCGCCTACATCAAAAAGCGGCAGCTTATAAGAAAAACGGAAGCTGCAAGAGGTCCAGAGAGCCAGCGATGTCAGGCAGCGCCTCTTCTGAAAACAGTCAGAAATGTCAGAAAAAAATAAGTCACTGTAAGAACGGCAGCGTTACGTGGAGCAAAGGAAAAAGCGCGGTCGGGTGGGACAATCCTTCTCCCTTACGACCAGCATCTACCTCAGGGGACAAGTTTCATAACGCTAACTGCTTCCACGGCTACCAAACGGGCAAAACCATTCCAAACAGCTTCACAAAGCTCAGTATCTAAAAGCCACATGGAAATACAGTTCTATTCAGGCATCTAATTGACCTCATTTCCTTCAAAAAGCCCAGACAGAAGCCCTTTGTATTTTTAACCATTTCCAACTCCAAACGACAGAGAATTTTGGAAAGAATAAAAGAAAATACAGAACTGATGGTTTCAGTATTTGAAATAACATCCATCCTGGGCCTTTTCTCCATGTTCTTGAACTCTCCAATGTGCTTGATGTAGGATACATTAGAAGAGAGCATTTATCTTTTCTCTGGTTTACGTAGCCCAATAATTTTAACCATCTGTCTCAGAGAATAAGAACGCTTACCATATTAAGCACACACTAATTTTAAGACATTAAGAGCCGAAGGGTAACAGATGTCGGAAATAATGGATGCTTATCGTGTATCACTCGTTCATTCAATCCCAAACAAGCGGAAGCACTGGCAACGTGTCACCTATTCAGTCAGTAAAGTATTTTAAATTGACTTCAGCTTCGACAGAACTGCATCCCTGCAACTAACTGTTTGCATCAAATTCAAGAAAAACGGTTTTGCAAGAAAATCTCCAGTCACCCTTTCTAGCAAAGACGACTCATAACCAGCAAACTTCTGGAAGCTCATATACCAACTTGGTGCATATACACGTGTAAGAACCAGAGAGAAGTGTTCCAACTACTTTTTATTAAGCACAGACGCATATATTTTCTGACGTGCCTCTCAGAGCAGCCTGTGGAGTTTCTCCTATAATTCAAGCAGATAACTCCTACTTATTTTATGGTATTCAGGATATATTCAATCAAGCATGATTCAGATGTGGAGAGTGTCTTGTTTTCAGTCTAGTACCGAATTTCTGCTTTTCGAAGGTCAAGAAGTAGCACCTTCAACAACACGACATCTATGCATAATGTATACATCTCACATACATGCCTAGTTATATCACATCCATCCTAATTCGACTGGATACCGGCTGAACTATTTTGACTGTTATTCCATGTCAGTGTACTGGATGAAACTAAAGTCCCTAAATACCTGCTACTGCTCATCGCAAGGCTAGTCCTGTGTGAAAGAAGTCAAAACTTATTAAAAGTGATAATTAGCATCCTCTGCATTTTCATACTCAAACAACATCATGTAACCTCTGTAATTTCTCATCTAAGCAAAACACGTTAGACGTGATCCTGGGAAATATGCTCTAGGTGACCCTGCTTGAGCAGGGAGGTTGGACTAGATGATCTCCAGAGGTCCCTTCCAACCTAACGATTCTGTGATACTGTGTTTCTTGGCGCTTAAACAAAACACTACCTCCAAAAGCTATGCCCTAGAGGTCAATGGCAATTTAAACATAGGCCAGCACTCATTTCATGTTGACTTCTTACAGCTACTAGAACATGCATCTTTGTATATTCAGCCAAAAGTCGAGCCTTTAGTATGATCTAACATGCTTAATGTTACTTAAATCATTAACAAGTCATAACCATACAGCTACTACTACTGCAATGGGCACTAAAAACGCAGTTAAACACAGAGTCGCGCAGAGAAGGTACATGTTGCGCAAAGGTCGCAGCGAAACGATGGCAAAGGCAGGACTTTAACCAAGCAGCCCTGACTGCTCATCCCCTTGTAAACAGGATTCCCTTTAGGGGAACGTGGAAAGGAAGGACGGGGGGGGAGGGAGGGGGGGAAAGGCAACTGAAGAACCAAAGCGTTAGCAATAAGGGCCAGTTATTCAGGCATCTGGTAGAACAAGGAGGTAAATGAAGAGTCACCAGAATTTGATTACTAAACCTCTAAGCAGAGCAGAGGTCCTGTGTGCCCTACTGCTTAAGAAAATCACCAAAGCAGAAGGACTAAGCAGGCAAAGCGGGCAACCAGATTACTGGAAGTTCAGTCCAGGAAACGCCTAA